CCACACACACACACACATACACAGACACAAGACACAAACATAGTGTATTAAATTTGAAGCTAACAATACTTCCATGTAGGCCTAATGTATTTTTAGAAAAACACCCGTTCTTTAGTTACGCCAGGGCCTAGCCTTATGCAAAATCCTATGAACATGGGAACTTTTTGTAGCGGGGAAATGGAACGGTGTCAGATTTGTATTCTGACAGAAACCTGGCCAGTAAACATTTTGTTTTGTTTCTAAGTAAGGTACTTTATTCCTACTTTTAACTGTTTCCTCCACTACATTATTTTGCGTTCTTCACCCTTGTATCAAAAATCTTCCATGGCTTTCACTGCACGTGGTAACAGACTTGGTTACTTTGGATGCCAGGTCTAGAATTAAATTCAGTTATAAAAATATTGTGCAATTGAACGTTTGGGATTCTGTTTAACTACATCTGTTGCTTCTTTTGACGTTGACTGTCGGGTGGCTCAAAGTCAAAACAAGCCAAAGGCAAGGTAACTCAAACTTGATTGATCTGTTGACTGTTGATCTTGGAGACTTGAACTTGATCTGCTATTTTATTATCTTATATTATTATCATTAATATTAGATTATTATATAATGGCAATGGTCTTGTTTGTTAGTTCTGGTGTTTCAGCGAACAGAGCATAATGTCTCTGTTATATGTCGTTTGCAGCTGAATAAAAAGAGGCATGTTTGCGGTAGAATCCCTCCTAAGTCCTAGTGTTTATAGTTTATTCAAGTAGGCCTCTTCTACTTCTATGGCTAAATCTAGATTTAACCTATCCTTACTATTGTGAATGAGAGTTGTTTTTTTTAATGATTTGTTATTCTATAGTCTTTTCGTGTTCGTTATTGTGTTGTGATTAGGATGCCAATTAGGCCTAGATTAATTAATGTAGAATAGATGCGACTACACGCAGGGCGTAAACCAGGCTACAATTTACTGAACCAGCCTTTGACCCCTGATCATGAGTAGATCTATCTTATATTAACTTATAATTATTTATTATCTAGATTCTAGTCTAGCTAGGCCTATGGATGGTAGGCTACTCTCTTGGTCTTGACGCTCTCGATGACACCCTCCCTGTCACTCTAACCATTTGCCCCCCCCCCTCTCTCTCACTCTCTCTCTCTTTTTCTCTCTCTCTGTCTCCCCTCCCTCTCCCCCTCTTTCCCAAGGTAGGGTAACAAACGAAGGAGTCCCCAATTTGTAACATGATATTTATGTAGTACTACTAGATCTAGATCTAGATATCTAGATTTAGATTCTTCTTCTTCTAGATCTAGCTTCTTCTATTTCTTCACCCTCTTGTTTTCCTCCTCCTCTCTAATTCCTCCTGCTCCTCCTCCTCTTGCTTCTGACTTTCTTCTTCTCCTCTCTCTGTCCCTCCTCCTACTGCTTCCTTCTTCTTCTCCTCCCTCTGTCCCTCCTCCTCCTGCTCCATTCTTCTTCTTCTTCTCCTCCTCCTCCTCCTCCTCCTCCTCCTCCTCCTTCTCCTCCTCCTCCTCCTCCTCCTCCTCCTCCTCCTCCTCCTACTACTACTACTACTACACCTCCTCCTCCTCCTCCTCCTCCTACTACACCTCCTCCTCAATTCTCAGGTTCTTCTTCTATGAGCGCTCCAACCCGCTGTGAGAAGACGGTGAAAGGCGCGATACCGAAACCGGGAATTTCCAGAGTACCGTATGCCTACTTAATGTATTCGGGTCACATGTTCAGTCAATCGTAGCCTGGTTTACGCCCTGTGTGTAGTCGCATGTGAATAGATACTAGATCTAGATTATATCTAGATATCTAGATCAACTGACTAGATTCTAGATCCTGATCTAGATAGAACTTAGACTACATCTAGACGTAGATCTAGATATACCGTCGAACCTGTGTAAGACGGCCACCCATTGTCAAGGAGAAAAGTGGCTGTCTTAGGCAGGACTGATGAAGATGAAGAAAACAAAAACCATTCCTTTCTGAGGTCACAACCGAAGGTAGAGTTGCATTGTTGTTTTTGTTTTTCTTCTTGTTGTTTTTGCTGGGTTTTTTTTTCTTTTGTTGCTGCTTTTGTGCACAGGTGACAATATAACGAAATGTGTCAGACAAGGGGGACCAAGTGCTATGGTAAAACAAACACACGTGTCGCTACCACTTGGAAAACGAGCGACGTTTCTGTCAAAAGTTCATGCTGACGTCCATTGTTATTTTGTTATATATCGGGTGACCACTCATCTCACTTACGATTTGTGCATGGGTTCTGGGCTGGGCTTATAGGTTAATAGGGATCACATGGTTCCCTCATCAGCAGCCGAAAATTAATTTTGTTACCTATTGGTCAACAGTGGGAGGGGCCTACGCAACATGATCGGTTGGAGGGACTACCTAACAACGACAGGTTTTTAGATTATATCAGCTCGCCCACAACGCCAGGGGCCAATGCACAATTTATGACAAAACGTAATGGAGTCTCTGACTTAGGTGGCTGTCTTTTGGTGTTATTGCTTAGTGTGATAGGGGTTGTGTGTTGAAGTATGGTGGCCCTGGCCGCTTTGGACAGGTGCCCGTTTTACACAGTTAAATTATATAGAAAAAACGTAAGGGGGGAGAAATGGAAAGTGTCCGTTTGTACAGGTGGCGGTCTTATAGAGGTGGCCTTCAGGTCAGGTTCAACTGTATAGGCATACCAATTTGTTTTTTTGCCTGGGGCTGGGGGCAATTCCTGTCTGGCCTTCTGTTAAGTTTCTTTCACTTTCAGTTCGGTGGTAAGGAAATACAGCCAAGCCTAGTTCAAGCCTTGCCTATATTATAGCAGTTTTGTAGGCTTAGAATCTAATATTACAAAGGCAACAACCACACAACTCCGTGGCAACCCAGAGAAGCTCCAGAAGCAAAGAAGCAGATTGTGTGTGAGGGCAAAGTTTTTTGAAAATCTGGTAAATGCTATTTGGAACAATCTCCCAGAGTCAGTGGTGTCAGTCCCAAACGTGGACTCATTCAAGAGACGTCTAGATGAATACTGGAAAGATGTCCTGACGGTCTACAATCCCACTTGCCAAAACTTATTTGTCAGCCTGCATGCAATGCATTAGTCATTTATTACCAGATAGTTGGACAGGCTCTTCTAGAGCCTCAACCGACTTAATCGTCAATGTCAACAATGTCTACATAAGGTCTAGATCTAGAGCTGTACTCTAGTATAGGCAGTGCATAACCTAGACTTCAGAGTCCCAGAGATGTAGATCTAATATCTAGATTTTAGATCTCTAGTAAGTCTCCACATGAAAAATTGTCATGGCACCATGGCTTGATTTTGATGAGAGTGTGGAGACATGAAACTACAGCGAGTGAAGTACCTAGATCTAGCACACCTTTGTGATTGGCCCAAATATAGAAGACTTATTTCCGCCGTCTATCTTTGTTGTCTTCCAGGGTGTTCCCCAAAGACTCTTGGGTTTCCCTCACCAGTAACACTGTTGACTGGATCTCGCCGTGTATGTTTTTTTGTTGTATTGTTAATTTGTATTATCTTATTCTCAGCAATTCTCGCTCCATAAATTTACCCTCTTAAGTTGTACTCGCACACACACACTCATGCGCGTGCAGACGCACACACACACACAGGCACGCACACACACACGCAAAAGCACTCACGCACACACGCACACATAGCCCAAGCAGTTGGCGATTGAACCAAGTGACTTAATCTATCACGTGCTAAGCAGTAAAGCGGGCCCGTCACTGTGAGATCATCTAGCAACTGGCGAGAGAAGCCCCGGAAGACGACAAAAATAGATGTCGAAAATGCGTCATTACGTCATCTATATTTGGGCGTATCACAAAGGTGTGCTAGGTGCTCGCTGTAGCTTCATGTGTGTGGGTGTTATAATAGGCTACTCAGTGGGTCAACTCAGTGAAGTCCCCGAATGAAATGATTTCTCAGTCTCAGTCCTTCCCTACTCCTAGTCCATAGGCTATACAGGCTATGGCTTATCAATAGTCTATCTCTTTTGCTTGAACTTTCTTTGAAAGCACTTCCAGTGATCTCTGTTACTGTGTCTTAATAAACAATGGCATTCTCAGGTTTTTGCCCCAAGAGTATTGATACTGACTTACTTGAGATTCGCTGCTATTTTTCAATACAAAATGAGCAGTAATATTTCACTTGTTTTTAATAAGGGGGTTACAGGGGGGCATACCGCGGGGGGTTTGGGGGGGTTGGCACCCCCTGTATTTATAATCTGTTTTGCAAATAAGGCATCATTATATTTGCATGTGCAGCAGTGCAAAGAAAACTAATCATTTAGCACCAGAAGTAATTGTCAGTGGAAACAAAACTCGTACCGCTGCTCCATAGTTATCGTTGGGGCCAAAACCAAATTATACCCAATTACTAGTTTAATAAAATTCGATTTAGTTTAAATTTAGATCATCAGTTAATGATAGCAGAATTCATTCTTCTTCTTCTTCTTCTCCTCCTCCTCCTCCTCCTCCTCCTCCTCCTCCCTCCTCCCTCCCCCTCCTCCCCCTCCCCTCCTCCCCCTCCCCCTCCTCCTCCTCCTCCTCCTAATTTGTAGTTTTGATCCTCAAGATTTATATTATGGCAGTTAATTAATTAGCTTGTTAATACATCTTGAAAACGAGCATGAAGAAAGTGTAGTATATGTGAATGATAAAAGATAGGGAATTATCGGCAGAGATGCAGATATGCGTCACATTCTATCTTTCAGGTCTTCTTTCTTTTTGTCATTTTCCAGTAACACCTCTAATAGGCCTATTTAGCCCTTTTCTATTTGTTGCAAGTGCTGTTGGTAAGACCTTTGACCTGTTCTGTGGTGAAATGTCAGATGTGACCATGACCTGTCCTCAGATTCACCTAAGTCGTTTATTTCATCATGTGTTTCCTGCTCTCTTCCTTCTTTACTCTTTTTTTCTTTTCTTTTCTTTTCATTAGATGAGAAACAAAGCAGACCTATAAAGTTCTAAGCAGAAGCATGAGCTTGATCTTTTTTATACACTTTTCACTGTTTGCCAGAAAAGTATGGGGACAGTTGAGGGAAGGCAGGGGATAGCAGCTGCCGGCTTTGATTTATTTTTAACTCTCAGGGAGTCAGCTTGACCCAAAGTCAATAAAGTTAATGGATGTAAGGACATTAAATTTATGGCTGTAACAGTTGAAGGCCAATTCATGTTTAGACAGGATTGAATTGTTTTTGTCACAGGAAGATAATGGGAGAGGAGCTATTTTTTTAGTGGCTCTTGTTCTGGATCACTGAAGTTTTATTTTTAAAGTCATGAGAAATTATTTGTTTCTTGCTTTGCTACTCATGGGTGGTTGGGTTGGAGGGTTCTCACCTCACTGGTTGGTCCAACTTCTGTTTTTCGTGCTGTTGTTTCTGACTGTCTGTCCTGCTTTTTCTCCACTCCTAATGACTATTAACTATTATTGTGTTGATGTGCTTCTGTTTACTCTTGAAAACAATCAAAAGAAGCTTTGCTGCACATGATAAATTAGTATACTTTCTGTGGTCACAGCTTTTGAAACGTTAAAAAGCAATCACTATCATGTCGGGTAAAACATTGTTTATCTTTGGATGCTTGGAAAGTTGGTACAGACAGCAGAGAAAAGTATAATGTACAGTGATAACCAGGGACATAGCATCCATTTGTTTAGTGGTGTGGTAAATAAGTAGGATACAGCTTTTGTACGAAATAACATAGAGGATTTTAGCAGGTACTAATAATACTTGATAGCAAGGGATAAATTCATAAAAATTATCAAAACGACCATGTGACACATCACTGATAATATGGTGATGATATGTGAAAGGGATGCTTGATATAATATATTGAGGCCATTGACTTGACTTGTTGACTGTTCAGTTGGACTGATATTGAAAGTGATAGTCTTGTGTTCTGGGAATTCTTTCTGTTTCACCTTGGCCAATGTGTAGCTGCTGTTAAAGGAAATCTTTCATAGATTTGAAAAATTTCTTTTGCCTTTTTATAGATTTGTATTCCTTATATGCTGAGGAAATTTCAGGGCTTTAAAAAAATTATTTTTAAAATTTTGTTTTGTTTTTGTATAAGTTTTACGGCGCTTGCAACTGCATAAGATCATATGAGCATATTTTCATGCCCCCCGGGGCAGTGCCACTGACTGTAGTGTCTTTAGGCCATTCTCAAAGGGGGGACATTTCTTGTTCAAGCATAGTAGAATTGTAAATGAGCTGACTCATGTCACGCTCATAACTGTGCCTGATCCACAACAGGGAACTGCTGCTTTTTCTTTCCTGATCCTTACTATTGTTGTCATTTTCCTCTTCTTCTTTCGTATGTTTGTCACTCTCTTGTCACCTGCTATTTCCGGGGTGCCTTGATAGTCGAAGCAGACCTTGTGCTGTTGAAGCAAGAGAGGTGAGCAGTCTTAGTCTGATTCCCTGTAAAGACTTCTCTGTTGACACGCACCCCTTGGCGCTCATATGAACTTTTGCAGTTGTGAGCGCCGTAAAACCCTCTACTATAATAGTAGAGTGCTTCCACTCTTCCGTATTTTTACGGAAATCCATACTTTCTGCCAGTTCCGTACTTGTCCCTCCATCATTATCTACTCACTCCGTAAAAAACCCCAAAAAACTGAGACAGCGCAGAACTGCCGAAATTCCGTACTCGCCCTTGTATCGTCATGTTACGGATATTTACGGTAATTCTCTGGGCAGCAACTTAAAGTAAAAGTAACCTGTCAGATTGCGAATTTCCTGCAATCGGCCATTATTCCGCTATGTCCCATGCATTCATTGCGGGTTGGTCGGCAGTACATTTTTTACCTGCAGATGGATCCCCCCCCAAAAAAAAATTAGGCTGAAACAGCACCTGGACATGGATGGCTGGTGCCTCTATAAATAAATCATTTATGGTCTGGTATGGATCTAAATCTGGCGAACCGTTTGTTCCAATTTCCTCCTTTCTATCATTCACTCATTCCTTCTGTCTATCTTCGGGGTGTTACCGCGGCTGGAAAATCTGCGCGTTGATCAAGTAAATTGACTTGTGAACTTAGATAGAAAATTACTGTCAGAAAGAAACTTTTCACTGCAAATTTGTCTAGATCTAGAGAAATTATCAATGCGAAGATTCTACGGCACGGGAACGCAATAAGGGCCGCGATGAAAGATAAATATGCTGATACGGGGGTGCCCGCAACGGATAAGATCGGCTGATCGCCGGACTCGGTCGCCTCAAAAACAAACGTGTTTGTTTTCAGTTTCAGTTTCAGACGATCGAGTCGGGCGATGGGTGGGCCCCATCCAGCTGTAGGTAAAATAAAAAATAATTCGAAGTGGTGTTCCGAGGTTGTGACAGGCGGCAATCAGACGTGAAAATTGTGGGGAAAAAATTGGGTATACGCTGCACAACTGTATTTTGAAGGTACATCTGTTTATTATTCCCAGGTTTGCTTGCTATCAATGGTGTGACGACAAATTAATTGAATTATAGTAGCAATGAAAGGGGAACCTGCTTTAAAACATTGCCAGCAATGGAAAGATATGTTGGTGAAGAAATCAAACAAGACAAAAATGTTTGTGAAAAAATAAATGTTATGGGCTGTAGGAAATCATTTTCAACCCTCTAAAAGCACTAAATTTCAATTTTGAACCCCCACCGGGACACTGTCCCTGGACCCCGTTGAGACCCTCAGGCCCCCTGCAGAATTTTCCTTACTTTTCACCTTCGGCTGGTGGAAGCACTGAAATAAAAAAAATTTAAAATAATTTTCATTTGGTAGGAAATTTGGAATTTTGCACAGGTGGGTCCAAACCTTTCTCTTATCAATTTTAGACCACCAAGGGATCTTTAACATGCGCAGCTTGCACACTTCGGAGATTTTCCGCCCTTGTCCGAGAAGGCTATGTGTAGATCTTTCCTACCAGAAGATCAGGGGTGTGGCTGAAAGACAGCAGTAAGAAGGAGCTAAGGAGTAGCAGTAGAAAGGCTGTAGTAAGAGTCAGGAGCCCAGAGGAGGGGGTAGGGTCAGAAAGTGGAGATGAAAGCAGATGACAGAACATTGCTAGAGAGCAGGAAAGGAGGTGAAAGGAGTGGAGACAATTTTGGAGAAGAAAATTTTTCCTCATTACCGGGATTCGAACTCTGGACCTTTGAATGAGAGGGGAACACCTTAACCTCAGGCCATGGGAGCCCCCATATGAGAAGGAGCACGTTAAGATTTGTATAGTTTTGGTATGGTTTCTGGGTACAGGTCCTACATGTATGGTTAGGGTGAAAATGAAAGTGCGGGAAAGATGAAAGCAACTGCCATTCATAGGTTTTTGTTTTCAGGTTTTGTGGTCACAACAGGAGAAGCACGTAATAATGAACTAAATTCTCCAAGCTGAACTGCTTTTATGCTCATTTTCAATGTGTTGAATGTTGTTTTATTTTATTGCATTTTTCAGTAATGTTTGTAAGAGGGTGGTTTTGGAGGGCAACTGGTACATATTGTAGTTCTGAACTTCCCTTCTTTTCTCCAGTGATCTGTCTGTCTTGCTTTTTGCCCCACCTGTAAATGATCTTTTAGCATTGATCAAAGTATAGTTTTTTATTATTGTATTCAGTACAACCAGTTATGAGTCAGACATGTGATATGATTGTGCCTCGTAGTGCTGGATATCGTCTATTGCCCAAAACAATAAAACATCTTGCATACCATTAAAACCAAGATTAAATATTGATGTTTATGTGCAGTGAAGTGGATACTGTGTAGCCATTCTGTGTGTCTGTGTGTCTTGTCTTAGTTTGGTGTACGGATGAGGATGCCCCCTTTTTTTTTGGGGGGGGGGGGTCTGGAGGGTGCTAATGGTAAGTGCTGCTTCTTTTCTTTTTTACTTTGCTGTTTCTATATCTGTCTTTTCCTTTTTCCCCCTAATTTTAATGGCAGTTATTGTGTCAATGTCTCTTTACTCAAAATTACTGCTCAGCTCTCTTAATTTTACCATGTGTGGCCAAGTGTTAAAAGAGAATAAATTGAATAGACAGCTTATGTGATGTTGATCTTGAGGTCAATTGTATTGTGGAAAACTGTTTTGTTTTTATACCGGGGGGGGGGGGGGGGGGGGGGGGGGCCTTAAGGGGCTTAAAAAGATGCTGAAAAGGATTTTTTAAACTTAAAAAAAATTCCTTTACGTATTAAGCCTGATAACTGCACTGAGGTGCCTTTAAATGTGATTTCTGTTTATGTTGCAAGTGCGGTGGTTAAGCTTACTAACACTAAACTAAAAACTTTTTCATCTTCAAATTATACTAAATTACAAAATTGCAAGAATAGAGTTGGAAGAGATAACACATTTTTTAGAGAGCTGCAACTCCATTGCAAAGTTTCTCATAATGCTACATTCATTTAAAGTAAAGTACTGAATGCGGTTGATGTATCTGTCATAATGTCCTTCTGGCCCCCTGTATTGTCTCCACACTGCATCTCTCCTTCACCTAGTTCACATTTGCCCCTGCTGGCATAAATCAAGATTATGTCTATCATTGCTCTTTATCCTTGTAAGCTGTGTGTGCTTGTGGTAGCGGATCCTCCCCCCACCCCCTGATGGATAGTTTGCCACCTCATCAGTCATATCCCAAGTTGTGGGCTTTCAAGCGTGTCATTCAGGCCCGCGCACGGTGTTAGCTATTCCCATCCCATGCCTGGGGGTTGATGATACATTGCTCCCCTTGATGTTTGTCTTGCATTGTATGCATATGTGGACACTGTTGGTGGGGCGTATTATTGTACATGGGAATTTTAAGCTCTGATTCAAGGAAAGTTCCTATTTTTATAAAAAGTGACCTTTTTTCGGTGTTGGTTTACGTGGTGCAGCTTATGACTGGACTTGTAGTCTATGCTCAGATTCGTGGTTTTTGTGTGGAAAATGTTGTCAGAGTGTAGGTATTCTGTTGAATTGTTGATGTCTAAGCTGTCTGTGTGGGGCATGCAGTGGCATATGGATGAGTGAAAATGTGTATTGTGCATAATTATCTCACTTGGGCCAAATTGTCTGTGGTTACACAGTGCTCAGCTGTAATTACTGCAGGGCACAAGAGCCGGCAGTTTGTTAACAACCCTCATTATTGTTGTGGCGGCTGGGGAGATGATGAGGCTGTTTTTTTCTGTGTGATGTTTATATTTATGAATTAAGGATTCATTGTTATATATTTTGCTTGTTGTGTAGATTCGTAGCCTTCGGTGTTCTTTTAGTGAATTCTTGAACTGTTTACGTGAAATTTTGGTTGATTGGTAAACTCTTGATTTTTTTTTTTAAAGATAAATCTTAACCGTGTAATATTTTTTAATATATATACGTGTAAGAAGTAGTGTGTAATGAAGGCAGTGGTGTTTGTGGGTTTAGCTGTTTGTACTGTGGTTTGATTTTAGGAGGGACAGAATGGTACTTTTTGGTTTGGTGCCATGTCAATAATTAGCTTTTTTTGATACTATGGTGTGTTTCTTCTACTTTTTCATGTACACTGTGTGGTGTGTTTCACAGTTGGGTAGTCTGTGTTTTGGAGGGCACCACTTGAAAGTCCTTTGAAGGTCCTACTTCTCTTCTTTTCCTCTGATGTTTCTGTGTCTTATTTTTCCACTTGCTCTAAGAGTAAATGGCAGTTATAATTGTGTGTTTCTCTTTCCTCAAACTAAAAAACTGTTTTGTTCATGGTTGATTAGTTTTTAAATTCTTTCATTTGACCGGAGAGGGGAATGTTTACATAGAAAGTCTTACTTCAGACATTCTGTCGAACTTGCTTTAATGGCCATCTGTCCGGGACAATCACTTGTAGAAATGGCCACTGCTCACTTCCTCCCTTGCATTTAAAAAATATTTTACAATGACATTGTCTAACACAAAGACAACTAGTTTTTTTTCTCGACAAAAAGTGTCCGTCTTGGACAATTTCAACTAGGTTTGGCATCTGTTTCTTGTCATCATGTTGTTTCACAGGGTGAAGTTATTAATTTGGGTGGGTTCTACATCTTTCACTTGACTATTCCTTGTTTTAACTGTTATTTTTGTTCTTTCCTGGTTCTTTCCCTCTATTGTTTCTTTCTGTCTTTCTGTCTTTTTTTTTTTTTTTTAGCTCTGTAATGGTTATTGTCTTCACATGCTTCTCTTTGTAAAAAATAATTCCCTGCATTAAATAAATGGCTATTATTATGCAGATATATGCTTTTCTTCACTCAGTTTGTGCTTAGAGGATGCTTCTGGTAGATCTTTCTTCTTTTCTATCTTTCTGTTGTTTTTGTCTCTCTGCTCTCTTGCCCCTTCCCTGTGCTAATGAATTAATAAATGTCCATTATTGTTTTCGGTGCCTTTTTTTTTCTCAGATAATTTTAAAGGACTCTGATTTTTTTTTGATTTTTTGATTTCTCAGATTTCCCTCAAAGTGTCCCAGCAGTGAGCTCAATCATGAAGGACTACAGATTGCCACTGATGGTGGCAGTGCCAGCAGCCCTGGCTTTCCTGGGAGTTATATGGTTCTTGCGCCGCAAAAATGACGACGGTAAAAAAAGAAAACCCACAAAGAAGGAATTAGAGCAAGTGGAGGAAAAACTGTTGTTAGAGCAGATCACTCGCGGCATCGAGAAAGAGGGTATCACCATGACGCAGCGTAAGATTCCCGATAGTGTGGCCAGGGATCGTGGAAGTTCGGCCTTAGGGAGTGGCGACGCTCCAGATTTTCGAGAAGACGGTAGGAAACCAGAGAGAGTCGAATCTCCGACGAAATCGGAATCTATCGGGGTGAATAAAAACACGGATTTTTCTCTTGGAGTTAGTGGTTCAAAGGTCTCGGCTGGAAAGCAAAGTGATCTTGCAAAAGTGCAGCGAGAAAAGGTTGATGAAATTGTTGAGGCAGCCATTGATAGTGGGTTACTGGAAGCTAAGTCTAAATTGGGTGGGTCTTCGTTGACTGGAAACAATCACCACAGCACAGGGGGTCAGAAGCAGCTCAGGGAGACTGCTAGCTCGGAGAGATGTGAGGAGAGTGTCTCACGCCAGACTAGCACGAAGCTGGCGACTTCCAGCGCCTCGACGGTTGCATCCAGTCAACTGGTTGTGGGTCCGCAGGTGTGTATGAAGGAACCTCAAGCAGCCGAGCTAGCGTCGGCTCAGGAGGAAGAAGAGGAATATGCGTCTGACGCAGCTCGCTTTGTCTCTCAAGCACGTATCAACTTGCAAGGCTCGCCTATAGCAGCGAAGGAAGACGATTCTGCCTCTAAACGTCACATGTCACCGATCTCTGTAAAAACTCTTCAGTGTGAGAACAAAGTCCCCACCACCACCACTGCTACTGCTTGTACAAACGAACCGCATGCCACAAAAAATATGGGTGGAACAAATAAAAAACCGACTAGTGTGGAGTCTACTCTGGTTTCCACCACCTCTGTGCCGGCGTCTTGTACTACTGTACAGAGAAATAACTCGGCAACGACGCCCGCTCTGAGTCAGGGCGTTAATGCTCCATCTGTCATGCCCAGTAAAGACTTTAATGAGAAGCAACCAGCTCAGACTGAGGAGAGTGTTGAAAAGGACAACAGCAAAAGGTCAGATCAAAGCAGCAGCAAGCCCCAGCAGAGCGGATTGACAAACTTGGGCTCGACGAAGGGGGATGGTGACGAGAAGGAGGAGAGTAACATCAAACAGAGCTCGCAGCTTGAGAGTCTGGATTCCGTGTGGAGCATCACGGAGAGCTCCTCCAACCAGTCGGAGATCAAACCCGTGACAGTGGACACGGCAGCCAGCAGTACCCAGGGATCCCTGGTCTCCTCCGCAATGTCCACCCCGGACTCGGCGGTCTCAGAGCAGCGGTTGTCAGGAAGCACTCCCAGTGTCAAGGACATGATCTCGTTAGCGTCGTCAATAGACGGCAGGCTGAGGGAGTCTTCCTCGCAGGGAGCTGTGTCCAGCCAGGCGTCTTCGGCGGGGTCTGCCTCCAAGGAGGATTCTCCTACCAAGTCCATCTCTCCAGTCTGTGATAACAATAGTGAGGTAAGCCAGATTTACCAAAGTAATGACAGGGAGGGTAAGCCAGCATTACCAAGATGACAATAGGGAGGGTAAGCTAGAATTACCAAAATAACAACGGGGAGGTATAAGCCGAAATTACTAAAAGTAACGATATTGAGGTAAGCCGGAATTGCCTAGATTATGGTTGTTAAGTGAGCCAGTATTACTGAGATACATGCAATAGTAGTGACGTAAGTTAGAAGCACTTAAGACTACAATAATGTTCGAGAAATTGCAAGAGCTCAGAAGTGTAAGAGAAGCTTATTAATTTGTTGATAACACTATAAAATAATTATAGTTGAACCAACTCTGACCGCCAGCTGTCCGAGACAGTGACTTGTACAAACAACCACTTTCCACTTCCCCAGTTGCGTTTAATTTTGTAATTTCCTTTTTGCTCTCTTATTTTGCTACGGGAGTTCTTCTCTTGATGAAAGTCAAATTTGACCCTCCAGTCGTAACTTACTTGACATGTTATGCACATTTAGGGTCTCCAGTCTCTGTGGAGCCACAAGTGGGTTGCTGTGATGTCAATCGCAAGATGCTTTTAAAGTTAATTCATTGGGGGTGGGGTCAAAATTAATTTTACCCTTTTTTCTTTTGAGAATAACTTTCATATAGCCGAACACTTGTGTGGCATTGTGATGTGGTGAAATCAGGTGCTTGTCAAAATAATTAAATGAAATCGAGACCAACCTTTTTTTCTTGCTCGTGGGCAATTTTTATCGGTTTCATAATTCAATTTTTTTTTGGGGGGGGGGGGCATTGTTAAGGTAAATTTGCAGTTTTCAAGGACCCTCAAGCTTTGGAAGTAACCAATTTTGATGGTCTTTCGCTAATTTGATCTCTGCCACCACCTTCAATCTCAAAAGTCTTGACTTTTATTCAAGATGGGTAATTTTTCGTCAAATGCAAGACAAATGAACAGGCTTTAAAATGATATCAATAACTACTTTTGCCCATAAATTGAGGAGCTCCTAATTCCACCTCATCACGAATCACTGACTGACTGGAGAGAGCCATTGACACGATTTGTTGGGTTGGGTTCGGTTTGCTCACAAGATTGAGGACGTTTGTTTTCAGGCGATTGGTTTGTCGATCCCCCAATGGGCATTTCATATTATTATTAGAGGCCCTTTTCTTATCCGCAAGAAGCCAAAAGTAAGACCCATAATTTGAGGAAACAAGAGCCAGTACACTCTTCATGATTTGAAAGGGAAAGAAAGGGTTAAATATTGCTATTTATGAGTGGAGTCCATGAATAGATAAAGTTTCAATTGCATCACTGAAAATTGCAAGTGTCAACAACATCAGCTGCCTTGCTGGCTTGTGTGACCTTGACAGCCATAGCCTTTCCTTCTGTGTTTAGTGTGACAGTTTCTGTTCTTTTTAGGAGAGGAGTAACAGTGTGTTTTTTTTACCTTTTGTGTTTGAGGTGACCTCTACCTTCTTTGAAGTGTGCAGGGCACGTCACTGGTAGGTCCAACTTCCTTATTAGTCTTCTATTATTTCTGTCTGTTTTTTCTTACTGCCTTTGCTCTTTCCCAGCAAAAAATGACTGTCATGTCCATGTGCTTATCTTCACTCAAACTCTGAAGCAACCCTCTCCTTGGTGGGGTCGGTCTAGTGGTTAGGCTTGCAGACTCTCAACTGTGAGATCGTGGGTTTGAATTCCATCAGGGGCCCAACCTAGTGTTCTTGGAAAGGCACTGATACCTGGCCATAGATGACACAAGGTCTTGTTATTTTGTAAATGTTTGAGCGCTTTAATCGGCTGCTTGCACTGTTCACTGTATGGAAGTTGAAAATGTTTTTCAGTGCTCTGGGGTCCACTGGAGTAATAATAGGTGTAAAGTGTAAAGGGTACAGAGCATGCTGTAAAGCGTGGCTATATGCACCATATAATAAATGCAATTATTATTATTATTATGTGTACCTTTGTGAAAATTCTTTTGTTTGTACTGTAGGTGTACGCTTGCTGTTCTGAAACTGAAATTGAAACCTCCTAGCTAAGCAGAACATTCATTAAAGCAGCAAGCTGTCACATACAAGGAATGGCTTTCTGCACAGCATTCTGTCAGGGTTTTTTCACCACCTGGCCATTTTTTTAGTAACATTTTTACAGCTGAACTTGGGCAATTGCCTACTTTTTATCAATATTTCTTTCCCTCTCTTAAATTTCTTACAAGAAGAAAACTGAAAACAGAGTCTGTGCTATTATTACAGTAGAATTTTGCAACCTTAGGAATCTTGTAAGAGTACTGTTTGTGCATGGTTGGAGGCTGCTACGGGTCATGTCCTACCTTTTTCCCCTCTCTTGTGTCTAAAGTCGTTCATTCTTGCTTTTTCCCCAGCTTTAAACAATGTTTTTTGGGTTGATGTGCTGCTCTTTACTAAAACAAACAAACAAACAAATCGAAAATAATATGGTATCTTTCAAGATGGTTAAGATATATTGGGTTAATTGAATATTCTGCTTGTGGTCTAAAAATGGGAATCGTACGGATCTGACATCATCTCTCCCTCGCATTCCCCAAGCCATTAGGTTCGGATATTGATCAAAGCTGGATTTGCATAAACTACTCAGGCGGAAAAGTTAACCTCTGTTCACTCAATACTTGCAAAAATAACATATGTCACGTCACAAGGCAGCAGATCATATTGTATTTTGTGTAACCAGTATATTTGTATTTTTGTTGCAAGTAAGCTGATCATAAAAGGTTAAAACTTTTTGAAGTTTAAGTAGAAATATTTGTTCTTTTTTCTGACCATAAGAACTTAGTTTGATTTGAGTGTCCCACAAATTTATGATGGAACCTTCACTCTTTCATCTGTTTAGCAGAGACACATCAGTCTGTCAGTTTGAAAACAATCTTTGTTCATTGGAATTCTTTATGCTGCAAATTCTATATAATGACAAGTTTTGATTTTAGTTTTAAATTCATATATTTGAGAAATATGTGGTTATATATATGTATAGTATTTATTTTTAGAGTGATGATTTATAGTTCTCTTTAATTTATTTCACCAAACATCTTTCTCTTGTTTGTTGTATCATCTGTTTTGCATGGTTATTGTTTTTGTCTGATGTTTCTCTGGCCCCCTCTATCCATCTTTACCTGGACTTGTCTTTTCCTCTGTGTCCATCTGATGTCTGGCCATATGCTCTCCGTACTATACTGTTGTGTGGTAGTCTTGACAGATGTCCAAACCATTTGAAGCATTGTTTATATATAATTAATGAATATGAACCCCAAGCACATAATTTCCTATTCCTTTATATTCCTCAAGAAAGAGTTTCCAGCTTTTCTTATGTTAGGACATCTTTGCCTGGACTTGTGTTCCTGTGTTTGGATTGTTTCATTGTCCCTTCAATTTTTTGTCCATTACATTTTTTGGGAAAATGTGCTTTTAATTCTGTGGATTTTTTAACTACTCAACTGCCAGGCCGGCCTTAGTATCCTTCCACTACCTATCTACCCAGGATGGTTACTTGCAGGCTTTGGATGGGTTAAAGTACTCTCATTGTTTACTTTTCTTTCTTGTTTATGAGCCATTCTCAAAAGTTAGGCAAATGCAAAATGTCACTAGCAGGTTATAGTCATATTTAATCGTACCATGATGAGCATTGCACTGTCTGCGAAGAAGTTATGAGTCAATGAGGCATAAAACTTCAACAATTTTAAAAGATTATGAATACAGTGGAGTCTTTTTCAGCCTGCAGTGTCTGATTTTTACATTTAATTATTTAGTGAGACCATTTCTCCTGCTTTGTAGGGTCCTTTGTCTCAGGCAGTTACATTCCGACTTTGAAGGTACTCTAATTCTAATGTTTTTAAACTGACCAGAGTATTTTCAGCTCTGTAAGAAATCTTGAATTTTTCCCTGGTGACAGCCGAAGCCTACTTTTATCAATTTTAGAACCACCAAGGGATTTTTAACGTGCACAACTTGCACACACAGGTCCTCATAGATTTCCCACCCTTATCCGAGATTAGGGGTTAGATCTTACCTTTAGAACAGTATAAGACTCAAGACAACAGGGGAGAGTAAAGGGGAGTTTAAGAGGGCTCTGAGGGTGTTTGTGTCTTTGGGCTCCAAATAATATCTTTGAAGTGTTAGTTATCACGTGAAAGTTAGAGCATTGGAAGCTGTCTGCAGTGCAGTTATTAGTTTTGTTACTAAAATGTTTTGATTTTGAAGCTAAAAATGAGTTAAATTCACATCACCACTCGCCATAATCATTATATTTTTAATACATAACCATAACACTTTCCTGAATAAAAAAAATTCAAGGCTTAAGTTGCATACAAAAACTCGTCTAGAATGAAATTATACAACGTGTGGCCCATCATAGGTCCATAATGATAACACTTTTCTAGTAAGTATTAAGTATTCTAATGACCCTTGAATAAAAGTTTGTTTTCTTTTTATTTTTCCAGAGTACACCTTGTACGGGGTTTCAAAATTGATCCATTTCTCTGTGCAAGTGGTGCATTTGATTATCATTTTATCTTAAAATGAAAGAAAAAAGATCCACTTTAGGTTGCAGTGGAGGCAATAATAAACTACTAAAAATTCTCTGTTTGAAAATTTAACTTAACTTTTTCTAGCTGGTCTTTTGAGAATGGCTCTTAATTTTGCAAAATATAATAATTTAAAAAATTTGCTTCCCTAATGTTCTTTTTAAAAATCATATAAAAAATGTTTTGTTCAGTAATAAAGCGGATGGTTTGCGGGCACCTGTGATAGATCCTTATTTCTTTTCTTTGTTCTCTATTGCTTCTGTCTGACTTTCTCGCTCATTCCTGCACCAAATGATTGCGATTGTGACCACGTGCTTTTCTTTATCAGAGGTACTTATTCACCAAATAAATCTAGAAATTAAGGTTTCTGTAATTGTCCCGATTTTCCTCCCAACTTACTGATACACGATGTGTTAGGTCAGCATGCTTAAATTTTGAGTCCCTTTGAGTACATTT